AACAGTCATTTCTATGTGGTACAAGTCTGCCTTTAAAAAAAAAATGTTATCATTCTAAGGCCTACTGTATGGTAAATGAGTGGACTTTCTGGCTTACCAAGATCACTGCCTGGGCTTCCTTCAGGTGAAAAGGCCACCATTTTTGAGAGGATACTTCCTACCCAAATATCACTCCCCAAAGCAGTAAGTCGCAGTCATGCAGAGAAGACAGTGATGAGGGATAACAAGCTACAGCACCCGGCCCTCTCCAGAGAACGAATGAAGTCTTGTGCAAGACCATGCTCTCATGCTGTCCTCCCTGTGACCCAGGACAATCATTCACGACACAGCTGTATGGTATTGGGAAGTCTGTGGCTGAGCAATGTGCTCACAAGGAGACCAGCCTATGACATGAGCTTCAACAATATGACCTCCAGCAACTGAGCTCCATGAAGTGGAAATACGTTCAACTCTGTTTTATGAGACCTAACTCTGAGTCCAGAAAGGGGTTGGGACAAGTGTGGTGTTTTACTCTTGGCTCTCTTTCCTTCCCCTCAGATGAAAATACCTTTAAAGGAGCCACAGTCAGTTACATAGCCAATGACTGCACCAGCACATGCATGTGAGGAAGGATAGTGATCATGGCTGTTAGTGTAGTGGGTCACATCACAAAAAGCTGGCAATTAGCCTAAACACAACTTGGGGCTCAATGACAAACTACACCAGGGTAGGGTAATCCTATCTGTATTCTCCCCCAGCAAAAGAGAGTGGAATGCTCTCATAAGACTCTAAGAGCATAATAAAAATAACTACCATTTATGGAGCACTTTACTATGGGCCAGGCACAATGTGCTAAGTGTATTACAAACATCTAATCTTTACAATCACATTGAAACAGAGATCCTTTGTTAATCTCATCTCACAGATAAGAGATTACTTGTCCAGGAAAGTATACTGTCCAAGTTTACTGCTAGGAATGGCAGACCTGGCATTCAGAAGCAAACCTTTGTGACTCCACAATGCTTATGGCTTTTTGTCACTATCCTACCCTTAATATAGAATAAGGGATATAATATAGAGAAAAGAGGCAGCAGAGAATGGCACTGATGTAGCAACTCACTTGAAAGCCAAAGAAGAGATTTATTCACAGCCATGAACTCATTGGTCCAACGTGGTTTTGTGTGTTTGTTCTATGCTACGAATTGTGCTCATGCAACTGGGAACCACTAAAATATGAAAGGATATCAGATAGCAGAGAAGCAAATTAAAGAACATTCTCTAGCAACAACTACCTGTCAACCACCAGGAAACAGTAGCAGCAGAGTGACTCAGAAGGTGACAATTTAGAAGCAGTAGCTCAAAGGTGTCAGATGTGAAGAAAAACACCACAACCTCAACACATAGTAAGTTAAGGAACAGGGACCTCCTTGCATATAGGACTGATTTTTAGCACAGGCTTATTTCTATATTGAAATGACAGGTGACCAAAGGTGCAAAGGTAGGAAGGTTAGAGATGGTCCAGAGACTATGTCCACCACCAAAGCTCTCCACCAAAACTAAAAAACCTTTATACTCTAGATTCTGAGGTCCACCCTTACTGTGAAGATGTTCTATTGTGGGGCTCAGAACACAATACCCAAAATATGGCACCTGTATCTTAAACTGAATGGAATTGAGAAGGCTGCAGAAGCAGAAAGAGCACTATTGACTTTTCCTTGCCTTTCTCCCTTGAAGCATGATCGTTAAAGAAAATTTCTCTGATCTACATTTCCAGGAAGTAGAGATCAAGATCCTGATTCCAGAGATGTGCTACCATAAAGCTGGAGGCCAAGAAGAGTCTGAACAAACAGCCCTTGCTAAGTTTCCCGTCTAGGTTGGACATCTTGTTCATCCAAATTTACTTCTACATGACCAGCCATTCTTAATACAAACATAAAATACAACCACCCCCAGGTATGCAGGCCTTTATTTCTGAAGCTTCCCATGTCATGTAAAACTTTGGTTAAACAAGTGTATTATGCTTCTCTCTTGTTAATCTGTTTTTGTTATAGGGATGTCAGCCATGAGCCTTGCCATGGGCAAGGAAGATACTTTTTCTTTCTTACAGCAGTCCAACCAAACACCTTTTATCCTATACATGCCAAAGTGACAGACAAATGAGACTATAGCTTTAGTTCAGTATGGCCCAAAGGGTGTTCCTTGGAACTAGGGTGGTAATGTGTCTTGATTTGTCAAAGAAAGCACCAGTTTACTCGTGCTGTCCTTGGATAATTAATGGTGTTCTTCTCGTTTATTATCAAAAATGTTCCAGTTTAGAGAAAATGCCAAATGACCACCTAACCCCAAAAAACTGCTTCTGAACTATTAGTAGCTATGCTGTTCTTCTCTGAACCTCTAAACTACCCCCAAACTACACCGAAAACCCTAAAGAATGAAATATAATATAAAAGCCATTTTGACCAAAGAATTTTCTAGCAAAACATCTATTATTTTGTGTAACTATTACTGTGCCATCTACAATCTAGGTAATAGCATATTGGAGTTAGACAAGTTGGGTGACTAAAACATCTGGCCTTGCAGAGACAATATATTAGTATGCCATGAATTTCCAAGAGGGTCACATATTAGCAATTTTTTCAAGCTTAATTGAACACAAAACTTTTTTTTTCATAAAACATCAAGAGATCAATACATCACAAAAGGCTCCCACACTTTCTTTCAACAGACACGGGTGCCTCATATGTCTTGGACCAGGACCTGGAGAGTCAGCAGTGAATGAAACAAAATCTTTGCTTTCAAGCAGCTTCCAGACCAGAGCGAAAGACAGATAATAAACCTGTAAACAAATAAATGTTATAGTTTGGAAAACAATGATCTATACCACCCCCCCAGCCAAGTGAGGGATTGTCAAAACAAAAAAACACATCTAGCGATCTGAAAGTTATTCATGAAGCAACCTGTCTTCAGACATGAGCTGGCAAAGATTCATGTCTGCCAAAAGCCAGTGCAGAGTTTTGTTTCCTGAATACAAGAAGGATCTCTTCTCTCTCTCCCATCTGAGTGTGCTTCATATGGCATTATTACGGATGGAGTTTTGGGGGAGTCTCTCTTCCTTTGTTTTTTTTTGTGGAGAGTATTCATCATGTGCCCTTAAGATGATTTCCTGTCCTATCTAAGATGGAGGTGTTCTTGGCAACCCCATTACACTCAAAAGGGATGTTTATGGGTGCCAGCGCCCAGGGAACACATTAGAACGAATGGAGATTTATTACATTCTATGCCACACATCTGCACCCTAGGGTGGAATGAGGGACAAGGAAGTACTTACACACACACACACTCCTGCCCTTTGATTGATCCTTGCAGAATAGAGATTCCCATTTAAATGAGTAAGGAAAGTTAAAACATTCCCTCCCTGAACAAAGCAAAAGGAAAGCCTTTTTATTTTGCAAGGACTATAGATGCCACGGGCTGAGCTTGTCCCAAAGCTTCCCTCCACTGCTCAAAAGCAAAGCCATCTTGCTGTGTTTAGCACTGCTCAGCAGACCACCCACCCAGACGCGGAGACACAAACCACATGTGTGAGGAATGCTGTTCAGCTAGGAAATCAGTATCCGTATTTCAACCTTATTACTTGCACAGACGGCTCTTTTAGTGTGACTCATTTGTTTTATCTTTTCAATAGCTTTGATTATTTTCTTTTAATGGCTTGGATTTATCCTTTTCTACTCTTTTGAAACTTCAGAACTCTGTGGTGGGGGCTGCATGTGCTTGGAGACATGATTATGAGGGGAAAATGAGCAAATAGCTTTCCCTTTACTCACCAACTATCTCCCTACTCCTCGTGGTGACCTATTCTGCACAGAATGCCCCAGGGCCACAATAGCACCAGAGTTACTATACAGCAGAGTCAGGAGCCTTCCCATTCAGGTGGGAGATTATTTTTTCAACAGCCATCTAGTCAAGTTACAAGTGCTGGAGTGTTTTCCAGCTTGTGACATGTATTTCTCTCACTAGATCCGGGGGACCATGTTGGTTACCCTTCTTTAATTAAGGGGAAATTAGGAGCAAGAGGACAAGATGAGAGCCAAGGGGAATTTTAACAACCTCTGGAAAAGGCTAGAAATGCTTCTGAAGAGGACCACATAAACAGAAGCGTGTGGATACTATTACCTGGCAGAGAAAGCAGAAGCATGGAAATGCGTTCTTTATTTTCTATTTGGGTGGTATCCTAGGCAAGGAAACCAATGAAATATGCTTAGTGCCCCATTGATCAGAAAACAAAAACAAAAACAAAACAAGGCCACCAGTTTTGGACACTATGTCCCAGGATCACCGACCAGAGCAGTCTGGGCATCAGGCCTTGGTTGATTTGTCATTCCTCTCCAGGTTTCCTTATATATCCAAGTGAAGACAAAAACTCTAAAAGACGTAGAGAAAATGTTTTCAGGAAAACTATATGGTGTGGGCCACTCCTCAGACAGTGTGCTTGGGGACAGCATCCCAAGTTGTTTTCAGAAACTGCGATACCGGTCTGTTCACACTCCCCAGGCTGCAGCAGATGCAAGGCCACTAATAAACAAGTTAATGTCTAGGCTGACACAAGGCAACAGGTTCATCTAATTCAAATGTGGCCATTAGAAAATTTTACTGTAACCTCGCCTGCCTAGGACTGATGCTTCCACACCTAAAATCGGTTTCTAGTTGGTAAGAGACAAGGATGTTCATTATAATCCACTAAATGGCTTGTCACCTTGAAGGCAGAGAAGCTCAGTTTCTCAAATCTGCTATGTCTTTTTCACTATTCAGGAGAACTTCACACCCAATTCTCTGGTTAATGGCCAAATTGAATGTATTTTATTCTCTTCATTGTGGTTTTGCTCCTTCCTGTATAATCAAGGTAGAATTTCTTGATGTTAAAGTAAATGCAAGGTTGTGTAAGACTGACCCTGTCTGACCATGGCAGATTATTTAGTTTACGAACAAATCTTCCAAAGGAACAAGGGAAAAAGAAAAAGATATCATGCATCAATGACCCCCTTTATTCCAAGAATGTACCTCACCATTTTGTTTCTAGTCTATACAGCTCAAATAACATGTTGGTTGCAGGACATAGCAAATGGTGCTAGACACTGGGAATTCAAAGATGAGGCATGGACTCTGTCCCCAGCTGCTCTGGAGTGCACTGTTGTCTTTCTATTCAATCTTCGTTAGAAACACCATCAACTCTTAAGGAAAAGCCTAGAGGTTCATTTCTCCTGTATGTGAAGTAAAGCCAAACTTTGTTTAAACAACTCTTAAATCAGTAATATACACTGTAAAGAAAACAGAGCCACAACCGATTAGAAATGAATTTAAGTAAAACACCTATTTCTGTTGATCTGTAGTTACATTTCAACATACGTTGTAGAGATTGGAAATACATCTTATGTATGCCTTGTAATTCACATGAAAGCATGTACACACACATACACAGTTATCTTTCAACATAACTACACATACACACTCCATTGAAAAGATACTGACAGATTTATAAAACGTATTGGCCTTGCACTGTTAATCTCAAGAATACATTTTTACTTAATTTATTTTTGCACTGCATGGTAGCTCTGGCCACCGTTAAGGATCTGTCAGCATTTCCATCATGACTCTATTTTCAGAGTACTGGAGCACAAGTGCCAAAATACATATTTACAGTTTACAGACAGTGGTGCCTTTGTCTTCCTTTTAAATTTACTTCTTCTTCGATGCATCTTTACAAGGAATATTCAGGGATGGCAGAACCTACATAATGAAAATCATCATATAAAACAAAAGAGATCACAAATGTAGACATCCGGCCCAAGACTGAACTCAATGGTGAAAACCAACTTCTTAACATTCACTGCAGCTGTAGTAGTCTTTATATCATAGTCATGGCTTTAGAGTAACAGTCCACACCAAGATCACTCTGATAATATATATATATATATAAATATATATGCACACATCTGCATATATAGAGAGAGGAGCAAACACAGCATTAGTACACACAATGCTAAAGGTTGGAAGTAACAAGCACATGGCAAATCACTCCAGAGCTGATCACTTCCACAATGAGAAAAATGAACACAAGCCACCAAACACAGACACTGACCATTCCCAACACTGAACATCCAATTCCATTAAGCAGGTAGAGTAAAAACATTTTAAGAGTAAAGTCTTCCTTAAACAGTTATGTTACGTACATTTGTGGGGCATGAAATGGTTAAGTGGGTCTTTTTTTTTTTTTTTTAAAGATTAGATGGGTATATAAATGGTATCAGCAAAAACCTTTTTTGGTGGAAGAAACATTTTACTGCAAGAAAACCAATTTCATTGGCTCCTTCTACAGAAGGATGATTATTCAGATGAAAGAGAATTGCTTATAAACTTAAAAATGTTTAGGATACTCTCTGACAAGATTTTTTCTCTAAAGCTTTTTCTCCCGATCTGTAGGTTTTTATGTTCTTCCTTACCTTGACACAATAAGTAAGCACATCTAGACACACCTATTTATCAATGTAATGATAGAGGAGAAGATTGTATTGAAGAGATGAAATAACTGTGAACCTTTTTTTGCTAACATATCTGACATATTCTTAGATTGAAGGACCCCTTCTCATATACCTCCCACTGCAAACCAGAGGCAAAAGCTAATTTACAAGGAGGGAAAGAAGTTCTGTACATACAATCCCCTCCGCCCCCAAATAACTGGGGAAAAATTTAAGAAAGTTTATCATACTCCGGTTCAAATAATATTCACATTCACCCAATTTTATTTGAAACATCTATTTATACACACACACACACACACACACATACACAAAGGAAATTAAGCCCTGCCACTTTCCCCTTGTGCTTAAAAAAATCAAAGCCACTGTTAGGTTATGTGTGTGTCAAGGTATTCTTTAGTGTACATAGATGTGGCATAGTTGAGCGTGTTACTTTAAGAGAGGTATTACAAATCGTTGAGATCAATTGAAAGGGGATTTACTATTTCTGTATTTAAAAAAAAAATTAGATGATGAGAGTAAGAGTACCACTTAAGAAAAAAAATCAATGACATGATTGTTACTTGATCAGAATTTTGTGAAAATTCATTGTCTCAATGAGTAGTAAATTGGAAAATTCTTCTGAATTTTGTTATCAATTTACAAACTAACATTTTATGATTTTCTGAAGATATCTGCTTTCCTACTTAGTTTTCAGACCTAAAGTTTTTCACTAAAATAGCTGCCATTAATATTTTCTCCCACCCCCCAACTTTTGGTCATTTCTTTTCTGACCTTAGTTCTTTGTTAGTAACTGATGAAAAAATTATAATTTTTGCCAAAAAATTGTTATAAAAATAAAAATGACTCAAACTACATGTGTAAGTTCTTAGTTTAAACTACACAGATACATTAGTTAAACCACATAAATTTCTGGTTTAATTAAAATATGTGGGTAAGCAGTAAAAATTTAAAAAGATTTTTGAATTTTGCAAATATTTCCATATAAGTATTGCCCTCCCTTTTCCCCTAAAGTTAAAAACAAAATACAACCAAACCATACAATTCATCAGTCACTTGGATAGTTAACTAAAGTCCAAAATGACTCAGAAAGTATCTCTGTGATTATACATTGAGAAGTGGATGACACAACAAATGCTTCAAGTACAGTTCATGTCAATCATCATTAAGAATCCTAACATTCTTGAAACAGTACACTTGTCCTCTGAGAGGACGCTTCAGAAAACCAATTTACAAGAATGGCTGTTATTAGAATTGTTTTAAAGGAAAAAAATAGTTTCTTTGGATAGACAGAAACAATGTTAGAAAAATCCCCTATTTAAAATGCAGAAATAACTCCATTATCAATCTGCATTTACATTACTGCCCAAAAGAATGGGTCCAGAAAGCCCATTTTCTGTACAGACACTAGTTAATCTCTGTATGACAAGACAGCATATGGCATGAGAACAAGCAAGGGAGACATTGGGCTATGAACACACATAGAGACTTTCTTAAGGCTGAGCCAGTGATGAACTTTTGGATCCAAAAATATTTCTTCATTTCTTTTCTTTTCAGCTGAGTTTCGAGTAAAAAGTTGGAAGCTGTTCTCCCTTTTCATTTCTCCATTTACGGAGATGACAGAATAATGACACCAAAAGCACTTTGGCTTTTTTTTTCTTTTAAAAATAATTTGCTTTCTTTTGCATGCCACAGGACAGATTTCTAGTTTCAAAACAAGGGTACAACAAGAGCAAAAAATACTCCCCCTCCCCAACCATCTTTACTTTCACCACACAGGGGATTCTTCTGGAACATTAGTGAATAACTAAACAGATATTGAACCATGAATCTACAAGTTAATACATAATCTGTTATGGTAGAATAACCAAGATTTCCCCCCCAAAGAAAGATTTCAATTTTTCAAATATAAAAGAGTCTAAGAGAATCATATATGAACAAACAAAAATCTCTTATTCCAAGTTTTATGGCAAAGATGAGTAACACACTGGCAGCTAAAGAAAGTTGAATCTCTTACTAATAAATAGATCCAAATCAAGAATTTCTACAACATTTGTTTAGAAACAGAACCAGAATTCTTTTCTTTTTAAAAATGATGATCCTGCAGAATGCCTTTACTTCCACATTTATCTAATCTTATTATAGGAAAACAGACACAAGAATGTTGATGACAGCTCAAAAATGCTGGATTCAGGATGTTTACAGGTACATTTTCATTTAAAAGTCCTACAGGCTTATTGACTAAGGCTAGACAGCAATTCATATGATCCTATTTGGTGCATTTTCTACCATGGTCCGGAATCATTACATGAACACAGCCAAGGACTCGGTCCCAACTTTCAGGAAAAAGACCACAAAGAAGAAAACCAAGGTGGCTATTTGGTCCCTCCCCCATCGCCCTACCCCCACTCCCAATTGATAATTTGTGTCCTGGAACTGGAAACAAAAGGTGGAAATTAGAGGCTGCAACAAATTAAAGACTTGGAAGAAGTTGGTGGAAAGTGGCACAGTACACGAGTAAGGTCACTGGGCTTGGGATGGCAAGGGTGCTGCATTGAAAGAGCATCCACGGGACCAAGTACTTTTAATGTCTGGTGGTGTCATTCCCTCAACAACTTTAGAGTATCTGTATGCGATAATAAATAGATCAGTTATGTAATAAGGCAGTGTGTTGAATATGCATTCATCCTGTGGAATGAACCACCACAGAGAGAGATACATGATACCATACACATTCTTTAAGTTTTCTTGTGTTGTGTTTGATTTGTTTGTTTTCAAGGCTATCCAGGCTAACTCTTCCCCGGGGATTTCCTTGGAGAGAAGAGTGGTCCGCTGAGGCTGGTTTGCTTAACCTCTCCTTTATCAAGAGATGATGACTGGCTTTTAAAGAAAAATAAAGCTGAAGGTTGTTTGATTTTTATTTTTTCCCTTTTGGTTGCATCATTCTGAGTGTTTTCATATAAACAACAACAACAACAAAAAAATCACAACCAAAAAAAAAAAAAAACCAAAAAAAAAAACAAGAGTTTTTGATGCGTCCAGTTCTTGTATCCTCAGGATGTTCCAGATGTTTCCAGGTAACTCTGTAGTTTACGGACTGTGGTTTTGTCCAGCGAGCAAAGATCAAAATCAAATGTTGTGTTTGTGATATGAAAGTGTCCAGTTTCTTCTATGAGGTTCACAATCTAGAGGAATAAAGAAGAGAAAGCATGGGCAACAGGCAGCAGACATCCAAAAGCAAACAGAGAGATGGAGAGGGTCAAATAAAGAACCAAGAGTCAAAGGTTCTTCCATATGACAGGAAAGTCCTACACCAAAAATAGCACCAAAATATCTCACAGCCAATTTGGTAAGTCAAGCCAAAACTCCCAATAAGAACAGATTACCTGCTCTCATTTTTCATATCCTTTAAAGTGATGCCTGCTCTCAAGTCATCAACAGAATACTTTACTATGGCTAGGTGGTTAGGGTGAGACAAAATCTCAAGACACCTGTAACAATTAGTTACTGATTCAATAGAAAGTGACTATACTTAATTAATATGAAAAAAATTCTTTTTAGCAAAACTATATACATAGTATGGATATGTATATATCCATAATGATCATTTTTTCTGATTATATGATTTTTGAAAATTTATAAAATACAGGAATTCACAAAAAAGAAAATAGAAACCATTCACACTCTTACCCCCTGATGACAATGGGCAGTGACTAAAAAGGGGGCTCAAGGGAGCCTTCTGGGGTACAGGACCTATTTGGTTATTTGATTTGGATGCTGGTTATTAGATGCATTCACTTTGTAAAAATTCATTTAGTTGTATGCTTTGCTATGCTTCCACAAACATGAATAAAGCATATATTTATTATATCTTTGTTGATTGAGAATCTGGGGGCAACAATTATTATCTAGGAAAAAAAAAGATATCCTTGTTTCTCCACTTGGGATAGTTACACCTCATTTCTTATTTTGTTCACTCCAACTTTCCGAAAAATTGTGAAATGACGTGGTGACAGCATGCTGTTCTCTCGTCTAGGTCAGGAGGACACTTCTGAAGTTTCAGTGTTAAGATGATGTTGGTTAATGGTTTGGAAGAGTCTTTCATCATGTAAAGTGTCTTTCTGTTCTTACTTCATTAGTAATTTTGTCAGAAATGGATGCAGTGCCTGGAAAGTACAGACTTTAAGGAGGTTTGGTGTGAGTATGTAAGAGGAATAGGGATTGGTTTTAGCAAGAGTTGTGACAGAGAGGAAAATCAGCATCAGGATGATAGAAAAAATATTTTCACAGAGTGGATGCTTGGCAAACTTCAACTCATTTTTAATTCTGTTACTAACTTTCTATCAGTTGCTTCTTATTCTTTTTAGTTCAATCATCTTTAAAAAGAGAATAATTTTAATTATTTAGCCTAAATTACCAAATGCTAGGTTCAAAAATAGCAGAACTGAAACTTTTAACCTTCTCTTCTTATAATTAGCTTTCTTTAAAAATTTTGTGAACTATTCCCTGTGGATCAGTGGCTCTTAAAAGAAAATGTACACCCCACTCTTGATGTAATTTTTTTTTTTTACTTCTATAGAAGCACAAAAGACTACTAAGCCTCAATCCAATTAAATGTGCAACTCCAGATTGAGCTGTTTTTGTTTCATGCATTCTCTGGGACTAGTTTTTAGACCTGGATCTATGGTCTCACAGACCTGGATCTATGGTTTCAAGAATAAAACAAGTTACTTTCACTGCGGAACCATGACCCCTGGATACTGCAAACTAACTCTCCAATATCCATTTATCCATTTTTCTTTATTAACAGAAGCAAAATATTTTAAGAGTGGCAACAAGTTCAGCTAAAATGTCACCTCCCCAGACCCAGTTTCAGTGCTTGGTAGACACTACTCTTTATAGTTGATTTGTAAAAAGTCACCAGGCTTCAGGAAAGTTCTTGAAAAGGATGTGGACAATGGGCATGTGTTCTTTGTTTTCTGCCCTTTCTCTTGTCTGCAATAAAGATGCAATGCTTGAAAGTGCAATAACTATCTTCCCATCAACAGGGTGAATGTAATGTATGAAAGACGGTAGAAGACAGTCTGTTCTCAGTGTCATTTTTTTTTTTTTTTTTTTGGACAGGCAGAGTGGATAGTGAGAGAGAGAGGCAGAGAGAAAGGTCTTCCTTTGCCATTGGTTCACCCTCCAATGGCCGCCACAGCCGGCGTGCTGCGGCCGGCACACCGCGCTGATCCGAAGGCAGGAGCCAGGTGCTTCTACTGGTCCCCCATGGGGTGCAGGGCCCAAGCACTTGGGCCATCCTCCACTGCCTTCCTGGGCAACAGCAGAGAGCTGGCCTGGAAGAGGGGCAACTGGGACAGAGTCCGGCGCCCCGACCAGGACTAGAACCCGGTGTGCCGGCGCCGTTAGGTGGAGGATTAGCCTAGTGAGCCGTGGCGCCGGCCCTCAGTGTCATCTTTTAAGCCACCACATCAACCATGTATTACTAACCTCTGGGCCTACTGCTTTATGTACATGGTGGTGGCTGAGGAGAACTCTACTTGCCTAACCAGTGAAGCTAGGGTTCCCTTACATGCATCCAAAGAGTATTGGAGATTTGCCCAATTATGGTTAACATACATCATTCATGTAGGAATTTATCACACAAGATCTTACTATTAGAAATAAAAGACCTAAAAATAGATACTCATTTGTTTTATTTGTTAATAGCTAACAGAATTTTCCATAAGTCACCTACACACATCTATATACAAACAGAAAGACAAACACACAGGTATATCTACACATACAAACTTACTATGTCAATCATATACTTACTATATCCTTAATGTCAATTGAACTAATGTATTTTACATAGAAAATTATTTTATTTGTGACTCTGCATAGAAACACTATGGACCTGATGAAAACATGTAAAATTCAGAACTGAAATAAATAATCTCTTCAGAGCTTTTTTCATTTCAAATTTATGTAATGGGAACAAACAAGTACAACAGAGTCTGATACCTCTCCCCAACTAGCTGGCTAGTAGGTAAGCAACAAAGCATTCAAAATAGTCTTGAATTTGGCATATGAACTTCTGACTCTGCTTACCATGTGAATGGCACTGAATGGAACATTACAACACCGAGCTTCAATTTCCTCATCTGTAAAATGGGATAATGCTACCTGTTCTACTTATCAGTATCAGGTTGTATAGAGGATCAAATAAGAGATGATAAATAAGGGTTCCTCATAAACTCTAAAGTGCTATATGATTATGAAAACTATAAAAATAAAAGCATATCCCTTAACTATTTGGGAGGTAACTAAACAATACCTAAATTGTCAGACCTGGTACTTTTTCTTCCTTTCTCCATTGACTGTTTAGTTCTTCTACTAGCACAAAAACAGAGCATGAAAAACGTCAGAAAATAGAACTCAGAAAAGACTTTTTCTTAAATTTTTTCTTAAATCTAATAAAAATGTACATGGTGAAGGAAAAAAGGAAGATGAAAAGATGAAGGCAAGTAGTTGAAGTGAAGAGCTAAAAACTGTTAGGGTGGGTGGTAATAGAAGTAGGGGCATTTTCCCTTTAATTTGACAAGTAACGCACCCTTTTAAGAAAACAGCTTTCTATGATTCAATATAGCTGCTCAGTAATTACTTGCCAGTAAATAGAAAACTGGGCAATAAAAGTTCTTCTAGAAAAAAAAAGTCATTTAATTTTAAAGCAAATAAACACCCTTGCCCACTAGGAAACTCAACCCAGTCATCTCATATGCACTGTAATATCCTGTCCAGTGCTTCTATCACCAGTCTTCTGCTCTTGCAACCAGCGGGACCTACCCTGCCTGCAGCCACATGCACACAAAAACAGAAAGGAGATCAGATAACTCTGACTCAATGAGCCCTGTGGTTCCATGGGAACCTGTAAGAACACATCAAGGAAAATGCAGACATAGTCTAAATACAGCCATAGTGGCAGCAGTAGGGGGTTGGGGACTGCTTGCCAAAGGGAACAGCATTAATGATTTGAATTATTAGAGCATGTACCCATGTACTCAATTAAGTAAAGACTCCATAAAGAAAAATAAGTGCACATTCCTTTCCAGGAATCCTGATAGTTAGAAAATCAGAAACACAACATTAGCATACTTTATTCCAATGACACAAGCCACAAAGCCTGAAAACATTCAACTAGTCCCTGAAAGATTCTACTCTGCCTTATTAGAGAAACGCCTTCTCTGCTGATATAGTATTGCTTTACTTTAGTGTCATTACCCTGTATCATACTGCAATAAATAATCCCCATCAAAAATAATAATAGAAGATAAAACCTGCAGATAAAGGAAGCAGGCAAGGGTGCAAGGTATGTCTAGCAGTTGAAAAGGAAGAATGTGGAAACTGCTTAGCTCATTCTTTTGATGCTGCTTGTTGTGTAAACGTTTGTGATGGATGATTTCCTGCTATACCAGTCAGCCTTTCAGGGAGTACCACGCAGCCGGTTAGTTGTTTTAAACAGGGTAAGATCCACTGTTAAATCTGTGGCTCCCTCCCTCTCCCTGGATTTTAATTATAAAAACATGGATGTGTAATTTTTAGTCTGATCATTTTTTTTTTTTTTTAAACCAGGGTTCTTTCCATCCAAGCAGCCTCTTCACTGAGTGGGAAGTAAAGAACAACCTTTTCTGAAACTACTTCTGCCTGGAGTAGATTTGGTCTGAGATAACGTTGGTCTTTCTGCAGAATGGCCTTGGGTATGACCAGGAAATGCTGTGTACATGTGAAAACATGTACTGTACTCTGGGCTAAGAGAAAGGCCATCAGGATCCCATCTGCAAGGGTGCTAGACAAGACAGATAACTTTCCAGGATGGAGGAAATCATTCTCAGGGAGGATTCTCTGTGCTGTGAGAAACAATACTCCAATGCACACTCACTCCCCTTTCCTTGAAGATAATTCTATAGAATAATAGCTAGTATCTAAATTGATAAGCTATCCTCTAAGGAAGTCTGGGTTTTCCTCAGAATTTTTTTTTTTTTTTGCTCTCAACTAGGATGCAAATCTAGATTTTAGAGTTCAATCTCTAGGGAGGTTAGAAGTGCTCAAACTCACTTTGCAAATAAATGTGGACCATGTGGTTTTAAGACAGAATCAAAGTGGCAATGAGTCCAGGGTAGTCAGTTCTCCTGGTCTGATGGTCTCCATGCTAACACATTTTCACTCTATGGAAAGGTGGCTTAGGCACACAGGTTCTCTTGACCCAGTGCTTTCTGTTCATTACACTGGACACAGAGTGCCAGGACTACATGTTCTCAGAGTAAAACAAAGCTGTTAACCACTTTTTGTGAGCCAAATAAAATTGTCATATCAGATTTCTGGATAGGATGCATTTAACAGACATGGACCTAGGATATGATCCTGGGTGCACCCTGCTTCAGGTGTTCCAGTCCGCATGCCGGAGAATACATAGTCTTTACGGAATGCATTCCACGAGATGAGCAGCCCTCAAGGTGGAGAATAACGTTAGTCCTCAATAGTGTTATGTTTTACAATAGGAATTAATTAAGCAGTAAACCGTGACAGGACATGCATCATGGTATCATAATCACAAGCCTCAGCTGCATTACAAGGCAAAAGGCCAAACACTGAGAGCTTTCAACCAGCCTGGGAATGCAATTAGGGTGAAATGCTGTGTGCCCTGGAGTGCCTTTATGCCAGGTTAAAAATTCATAGATATTACTCTCTCCCTCTAGGATACTAAAATAATCGACTTGCATAGAATTCTCAAGTAAGCTACTTTTTGTTCACGATTCTTTCAAAGGTCACACTAGAGGACAACATTAAATTGGGAATGGCAATGACACCCCAAGGTAAGACCCTGCCCAAGTACCTATTATCCCTGACTTGTTGTCTGGACTTTCCTTGTAAAGGTATCCCAATCCTGACCAAACATCTGCCTCACCCTCCTCAGAGGCTCACTATTTGGGGATTAATCCCTTTGATATACAAGTGTTCCACAGTGGTTCTGACTTGGTGTTGGGAAGAAATGGAAAGATCAGCTAATAGATTTCCCAGGAACATTCAGTCAAGTAGCCCCAAATAATCGGTAAATGGCAGGCAGAACAATTTTCAGTTCTATAAAAGACATCTAATAAAGTGGAAGGAAATATTAGCACAAGGTATAAGGGTATCTCAAAAAGTCTATAGAAAATGTAATTAAGAGATATTTTGTTTTGAGACAAAAAGTTTTGAAATACATACATATGAGGGAATACATACATATGAAAAATACATACATATGAAAAATATTATGAAAAGTATGCATGCATTTAAAAATATTCTTTAAACACCAACTGAGCCTCCAATTCCATTTTCCACGAACTTTTTGAATCTCCTTCTTACTAGACTATAACTAAGGTATGCGGCTCACTCCTGCTCTCCTACCCATATTCAATTAAAAGGAAATGCAAAAAAATGCAACTTATCCACAATTAAGAATCTGAAGTCTGCAGTCTTTTGTTCAAATCGAAAACTAAAATGTTAAAATCTTATCAGACCAATCAGGAAATCCGGCAAGTATGAAAGTGGATATTTATAGATTTAAGCAAATAAGTACACAGAATATAAATGTGACCATCAGCCATTAAATGTTAAAAGAAAAAAAAAAAAAACTACGCACAGCTGGAGTAGATTAAGTACTAACTTCAAGTCATTTGAAAGTAGTAAAAAAAAAAACAATTCAAACAGTGAAACAATCCACAAATGGGCTCTGGAATTTAGAACACAAAGCCTTCAGCTTGGGTGTTAAAAATTCTTTTATCAATAGCCACTGTTAATGCAACAAAGGTATATACTGTAACTGAAAACTAAAAACTATGCTATCTTCTCAAAATATCAAATGTACTAACAGAAGTTTCCCTACTTCACAAATACCCTGCAGTTGAGTTTATAATAGAATGTACACTGTACAAGATAAGGGAAATGAAGAAAATATTTATTTTCCTTAGAATAGCATTGGCAAAAGGTCACTAAATTGAATCACAAATGTTTATAACACTTGACTGAAATTCTTATCACTGTTTTCCCATGGAAGCAGAAGCCAGGCCCCAAAGGTTTCTGCATTTCTACCCTCCCCTCTCTCAGCCCACATTACAACATCAGCCAATTGAGGGATTGCTACATCCCAATATCACCTCCAAAACTGCTCAATTTTCATCACCCACAGCACCAGAGGAGGGAGGTGACCACCACAGAGCTCCAAACCAGATTTCCAGGTGACCTCCATAAATACTTGTACATGTGGCATTACCCAGGTGGACTGGTGGGGGCTGCCTTGGCCTCAAGTGCTGTCACACCACCCCAGGACACACTAGGTTTTGCAGTTTCTGGAAAGGGTTGCACTTCTCACCTGCTGCAGAATGTGTCTTTCCCTTAATGTCATCAGCCTTCTGTGAAGCTCTACCAGTTCATCTAGGTATGCCTGAAAAAACAAGGGAATCCCCACAAAGTACAAGCATGGTCAGAAGCAGTTCAAAGCCAGACAAGTAAGAACATACAAGCAGCAGTTTGAGGTTGCTCATTCTACCATTCTGCCAGACTGTGTGGACTCAGTACCCAAAGGCCTCTGCAGATTGAGTCTCCATTGGCCCAACCATTACCTTTATCATGCCCTCTTTGAAAACCCTTGGGGGGTCAGTTCTTGCATTTATTTGTTTTCAACAAAATTCAAGTCAATAGAAGCACCTTCCTCCAACAATGCCTTTCCATAGAGTTGGAGAAATTCAATGCCAAATTGTGAGTTGAAACATAATATCACTGTCTACTCTTTTCCTTCCATCCCAACAGGCTTTTGATAAAAGGAAAAAGTTTGAGTTTGAACAAGGAAGTATCAAAGATCACTGTAAATTATGTCAGGGCAAATTATTAAAAAAAGAAAAAGGCTTCCTGGTCATACAAGTATTGCTAGCAAACAACGCATGCAAGTGACAGAAGGCTAGAAGAATATTTTATGAGAAATAGAGACCATTATGCAAAGCATCTGGTTTGTGAAAAGCTCCCATGAAAGCATAGAGGGGTATCTCTCTGCATATGCTCAGATTCGTGAGTCTCTGTTAGTTTAACTGCATGGGTATCTCAAGCACTATTTACAAAGAAAAGATTTGTGAAGCATAAGAGAGATCCACATTGACCTTGCAAAGCATGATAGGGTCCTGCCATCCAGGTGACTTAACCCCGACCAAGGCCTGCAGTCAGATTTCATTCTCACGGAGTGTATCATGCACACCACACGAGATCTGACTTTTTTTTTTTTTTTTTTTTTTTTTTTTTTTTCTGACAGGTAGTTATAGACAGTGAGAGCCAGAGAAAAAGGTCTTTTGGTTCACTCCCCAAATGGCCACCACGGCTGGCACTGTGCCGATCTGAAGCCAGGAGCCAGGGGCTTCTTCCTGATCTCTCATGCGGGTGCAGGGGCCCAAGCACTTGGGCCATCCTCCATTGCCCTCTGGGGCCACAGCAGAGAGCTGGACTGGAAGAAAAGCAACTGTGACTAGAACCGGACACCCATATGGGATGCCGGCGCCCAGGTGGAGGATTAACCAAGTGAGCCACGGCGCTGACTGAGATCTGACATCTTGCTCACATATATCTAAGATTCCTTAACCCAACCATCTCTGTCACGATTCTCTTACCTTCCAAGTTAATGTGCCTGAAATCCCTTGGCTAGAAATGATGAAACTAGAAACTGGAAAGTGATGGCATAAGGCTGAGCTTAGTACCAGAGATACAAGCAAGATATGGAAAAAAATTAAATAAACACAAAGCACCGGGATGAAGAATTCATTATTTGGGAATCTTGGGCACTTCTGATGAGGAAAATGAAAGTAGGACCAGCAAAGATGAACAAGAGAAACACAAAGAAAACCAAGACGTGTTGGTTTGGCAGCACACATATTAATGGACTAGAAACCTACCTTATCACATTCACCATTCTTTATTTGCTTATCTGATTTGCTTTGCTTTATTGGACTTTTCACTTCAAGAATCTAAGGATCAAAGGGGACAATGTTAAATTTTACTTCAAGTACATCTTTCCTAACTAGACATATAAATACAGGTATACACCGAGTGAAATGTCATACAATAGCATTGCTTTTCAAGTGGCATTTCTCCTCTACACATTTTGTTCATCTTACTTCTGTGGAAAATAAATTACTTTTGTTGAAATGCTGACTCAGGGCAATAGCACTTAAAAAAAAAGTTGATGATAAGGAAATTGATCCAAGCTTCCAGGCCCGCCTCTCTCTCAGCACAAAACTCTCACACATGTACAACAGCTGAGTTCTACTGACAGTATAGTACCCCTGGGCAAGAATTCCTCCTACTCATTCTGCTGTTTCAGCGTGACTACCAGTACTCAGGACACCAGGAATGATAAAAAAAGAACACCCAGATGCCCTTCTTATTACCTGACTTTCAGGTTTAAAAGTTACTCATGCCCAGCAACTGTCTCATCTCCAGGATCAGGTGGATTCATAGGCAGCAGCAGTTCTCCAGAACCGCCAGGGACTAAACCTCCTCACAGCCCACAGAGGAGGACTTTGCCTCTTTTTGGGTGAAGAATGTTGCTTTTACACCAATAAATCAGGTGTGGTAAGAGATGGGATTGAAAGCATAAAAGAAGCACTAATTTAAAGGTAACTCTGCCTCGTTTTGGCCATCTTTTCCTCTATGGGCAATGTCTCTAATATCTCCTTTTGTCTTCATAATCATAGTACTCCCTTTTCCACCATGCATAATTAATTTATTCCAAAGGTTCTTGCAGGGATGAATGACTGCTATATCTCAAGCCACATTGCAGGGGCAACACAAAACTGCTCTTCTTCATTCAATCTGATCCCAAGTTTAGATCCTCACCCTATGTCTACACCCCATATCAACAGGAAGCAGCCAGAAAGAAACTGGCCCCCCATCTCCTTATCTATACGCAAGAGTCAGGATTGATGGAACAAGGACATAAGCCTCAGCCATTTATGTTCTTGTTCCTGCCTTCTTTCAAGAGACCAGTTCAGTCTCACACCCTGGGCTGTTCCCCACCCCAACCTCTGCATTCTTCCCCAGGTTTGGAGGCCAGTGGGCCAAACTTGAAGAACCAGTGTGGAGAAACTCATCTCTGCCTCCTGCCATCCACCTCTACTTCAGCCCACTTAAAATATAGATAGGTCCAGCCTGTGGGGGTCTGGGCCCTCTGCCACGTGTTCAATCTATGTACATGCTGGCAGTTGGTTGACCTCTGTGAGTTTATTTTCTCTGAATAAATTTGGTATGGTTGCAAAAAAAAAAAAAAAAAAAGAAAAGTTACTCATATCCAGTGAATCGTTGTAGCACTGGAAATGAAAATGCTGTCAGCTCCTCTGGTTGCTCCCAACTCGGGATGCACCAACCCAAGAAATATTTACGGGCTTCAAGAAAAGATGTGTTAGCTAATCACATTTTCTTTTATCTGGAACGATGACAACTAAAGTTATGAAGAATAATGAAAGCTTTGGTGGGGACCTATGTATCTAAATGATAAAAAGGAAAAACAAATTATTATTTAATAAATGTAACACATTTATTAGACAGGATTCTCAAAAGTAAGGACTAGGCAGGAAATATTTTTAGATGGTCCTTGCTTGAAAAATCTAAGAACCACTAAATTAATGATGAGTTTACAAAAGTATATATACATAAAAAGCAAAATAATTTGTCTTTTTCATTATAACCTTATTACGAAGTTAGCTGTTATAATTGGAAACATATATTAAAAAGGAAAATGCCAAATAAAGGATTTATTTTAAGAAGTTTTACATTCCTACTCTTCTCTTTCCCCATCCTTGTCCTAACTCAGTCACAGTTTTGTTCACAGATCTCCCACATTCCATTACATGAAGACTGTAAGAGTAAGTCCACTATGAATCGATAATGGCAAGATAACTGATTGGGCTCAGAAGCCTAAGTTCAGGTCCTAGCTTATTATTAATGTTTTTGGGGCTCCAAAAATGAAATGAGATATGAACAAGATGATTCCCATTCAGCCTTAAAATGTTACACTAAAGAGGTCAACATTTTACCTGCTAGGACTGACACTGTGGCTCAGTGGGTTAAGCTGCCATTTGCAACACCAGTATCCCAAATTTGAGTGTAAGTTTGACTCTCAGCAACTCTGCTCTCTGCTAATGAGCCTGGGAAGGTGGTGGAAGATAGTCTAAGTACTTGGGACCCTACCATTCATGGGGGAGAACAGGATGAGGTTCCAGGCTCCTGGTTTTCTGCCTGGTCCAGGCCTTAGCCATTGTGACCTTTTGGAGAGTGAAGCAGCAAATAGAAGATCGCTCTCTCTCTCTCTCTCTGCCTTTCAAATAAATCTTTTAAAATGTTTTTTTTTCTTCTTCTTCTTCTTCTTCTTCTTGAGATCAGCCCATAACATTCTGGAAAAGCCCAGATATTTCTGCAAGGATATATTTTTCTTTGACTTGAGAACAATGCATGGGTAAGAGGCGTGTTTCTAACAGTCTTTCCTGGGAATCACACTTAATTTCTTCATTTTGAACATTAAGATAACCAAGGGACTTATCTGACCAGGCTAACTTAAAATACAATACTTTTGGCAACCCAAGGAAATTACTTAATAGCAGAGGCAAGGCAATCATTTTTAACGTGCTCTGTTGTAAAAGGAAACCAAACACTGCACTACATGCAGAATTTCCTCCTCTCTATTGTTGTTGGAAATGAGACCTCAAGGGAAAAATCAGTGCTTAGAGACCTAGAAGTAAGTAGGTCAGTAGATGGCACTCCTCGACAACTCAGATACCACTGGGTAATGCAGAGGATCCACTGAGACTTCAGGGGAAGGGAAAAACAGAACAGTGCCTGCCTGCTTGCCTTGTGCCTTTGAGAACTGAATTGTGTTCCCAGCATATCCACATCCCATCCCCTTCAGAGTCCTGCTCCACAACTCACTGTACTCCGGGTGCCAAAGTGACTGAGGACATCTATTGCAATGGAACTTCACTAACTAGCTTTAGAGTCCTGACACCTTCGCTTCAAAGCAGAAAACAGACCATTTGGGCGCTTAAGTCCCACCCCACACATTCCGTAAATGCTACAGCAAAGAAGGCCAAAATACATTGAAATCCTAGTTTCTTTCTTTTGAAGCTGCAGTGGCAGGAACAAAAGCTCCGGGTGTCAGTGACCCGCCTCAAGTTACTGAGTGGCTGCCCAGAGAGGGCTCAGCTAATCTTCCGTCTTTGATCTCTCTCTGCTCCAAAATAAACAGCTTTGTCAAAACCTCATTCTGAGAGAGCTGAGCTATTCTGAAGACAATTATTTTATTTATGACCATTTCTTATCTTTAGGGAAACGATTTCAGAATATAAAAGTACAACACCTTGTCTTCCACGGGCATATTTCAAACCAGTTTAACTGGATAGATTCTTTTTAATTTCATTCAAAATGCCTTGCAGCCCACCAGGTGATTTATGATATTCTGAATATTAACTTAGGTCCAGTGGATCACTTCCTTCCTTCAAATCCTGTTTCTGCACACACACACACACACACACACACACTTCTGGCTAAGAAAGATGTGGTGCTTTGTTTTTGTTTGAAAATTCACATAAGGGAGGTTGGGAGTGAAAAAAAAATCCCTTCTGGTTACAAGGGTGCAATGCTTTATATTATTCTCATTAAACTGTACAGAGGGAAACAGAACCAGCAGGCTACTTAGATGCACCATGTATAGATCTCCCCTTCCCTGAAAATAGAATATCATGTTTAGTAGCTCTGTTGTCCTTAGCTTGAGGATAAGACTTGAGAATAAAATTTTCAAGATTTTATTCTTTTCAGAATCCCTTTGTGAAAAACAATAACTTACTCAGTTGTCGTCAGTTATGGCTTCTCTACTGTTGGGTCTTTGCTGATAATCATTATTAGCTCCTAATAATGCTCAGGTTAATTACTTGCTTTGTTGACAGTGGACTTTGTTCACTTTTTTTCCTCCAAGTAGTTAGAAAATGTCTAAATTAACTAGCACATTCCCTCTTTTTTAATCTCTGGAAAATTTCAAAAAAGGCAATAGGCAATTCTGTTTTGTCTGGTTCTTCACCAAAACTTGAGAGACGATTATCAATCTGCAGCTTGAGAGGCGGGGTAGGGATGTAGGTCATGGTTAGGCCTTCTTGGCATGTTTTTACCTACTTCATTTGATATGAAATTTCAGATGTCTGTCTCTCATTCACATATAGAACTAAAACACTTTCCAGAGTGAAACTTAAATGAATTCTAGGTTTCTACGAAATTATTACTATTTCACTCTGTCAGCACAGAGAGCTAAGACATAACAATGTTTTTGTTGTTGTTGTTTGTTTGTTTGTTTTTTAAGTTCCAGAACACTGACTTAAAGGAAGAGCATCAAATCTGATCCCATGCAGATGATCTGAGGGTTAGGATACCAGTGCTAAGCAAAATCTTAAAAACCCTTTCATGGATTCTCAGCTCTAAGCAGGTAAACACTTCTTTGGACATGTATCCTACCCCAGACTGGCTAAAAGTGAAAGCATATGGATTTCTTATTATGCTTATAAGTACACGGAGAAAGTGACATATAACTGAGTAATACTGGCAGATAGATGATTCACATGTGTGAAGCTGCATTTTCAAACATGCCAAGGAACTACTGGTATGCTATTTAATCAGATAAAATAATTTCTACTAACTCCAGATGGATGATACCATTTCCTTTTGCACTTGTTTTGCAAGACAGGTTAAAAAAAAAAAACAGTTTGATAAAAGAAAAAAAGGAAACTTTAATGCAAGGGCCAGCTCAAGACTCTCTCTTCAGAAAGGGTTTAGGGCAGCCACTAGGTTTGAAGGGCAGGAAAGGAGCTTATCGGAGCTGCACTTAGCAAGAGAGTCCAGGCTCAGCCTTAGTCAGGAGAGATGCTGATGGAAACTAATGAGGGCACAAAAGGACCCTGAACTCCTGACATTGCCACGTTGCTACGCTGATGTATCCTAATTGTCATACACCATCCACTGGAAGCAGAAATAAAGCCTAAATTGGTTTCAATTGGATATAAAAATGTAGGAAGGGTCCAAATTCTATTCTTTTGCCAGCTGTTGCTGAAGCACAGATTTAAAAAAGGATCCCAAGTTATCTGGTTAGCCAGCTCAGTGTTCTTCTCAACTGATTAGCCACAGTGTTTATATCCTTCCTCTTTTTACTTTCCCTGAAATGCTTGACTTGTGGTGATGAAAGACGGCATGGGTATGGCTGGCCCTGGAGATGGAGAGAAGCAGGGACAGCAGGGAGCCAGGTTGGGGAATAAGAACTTACGAACTTGTTGAATACCCTGCCTGCAACAGTTGACAAAGTTGGGCTTTCATTCACAAGTAGGACACAAAGAAACTGCAGCTGAACTGTAACTGGTGTAAAGAGCAACAGCACAACTCCTACTTAACAATAAAGGATTTAAGTTGTAGACAAACTTTATAAATGAAGAATTTTAAATGTTGAGAGATCTTAGGCTTTACACAAAATGCATAAAGAGAAAGTCTTCAGCTAGAATACAATACTTTCCAAATGAAAGAAAGATCACAAAGGCAAGGGCAAAACTAAAACTGTAGGATACTTAAACAGAATAATTTTAGAAAAATGCAGTCCTTTAATTTTCAAAGTAATATTCATGTGGTAATTTGAGTTAAGCAATTATTGTAGCAGTGTAGGAAATCTGTCTAAACAAAAATAATTGGGACTGGCATTGTAGTATAGTGGGTATAGCTGCCAGCTATGACACTGGCATCCCATAAGGATGCTCCACTTCTGATCTAGCTCCCTGCTAATGCACCTGGAAAAAGCAGCAGAAGATGACCCAAATGCTCAGACTCCTGCCAACAATGTCAGAGATCCAGAAGAAGCTCCTGGCTCCTGGCTTCAGATTGGTGCAGTTCTGGCCATTGTGGCCATCTGGGGAGTGAACCAGTGGATGGAAGACCTCTCTCTCTCTGTCTCAGTCTCTCTCTTTTCCTGTACCTCTGACTCTCAAAATAAATAAATATTTAAGAAAAAAGAATAATTTACATAATTAGAGTACCAATTTAATGTGCAATGAGACTTATACATTACTCATGATACCTGAACAGTTTTTTTAAAATTTTTTTAAAGTTTTATTTTTATTTATTTGAAAGAGTTACGGAGAGAGGTAGAGACAGAGAGAGAGGTCTTCTAACTACTGGCTCACTCTCCAGATGGCTTCAATGGCCGGAACTGCGCCAATCTGAAGCCAGGAGCCAAGAGCTTCTTCCCGGTCTCCCATGTAGGTACAGGGGCCCAAGGACTTGGGCCATCTTCTACTGCTTTCCCAGGCCATAGCAGAGAGTGGGATCGGAAGAGGAGCAGCCGGGACTAGAACCGGCGCCCATATGGGATGACGGCACTTCAGGCCAGGGCTTTAACCCACTGTGCCACAAAGCCAGCCCTTGAACAGTTTAATAAGTGATAAAAATACCCCAATCATATCTTAATTTGCACAAAAGCTCTTCATCACAGCCTTTAAATTTCTGCCCAGAACTTATCCAAATAACTACACTCTGAGATGCTTATCAAATGAATAAGCTTTGCTTTAGCTCAATTTGTAAACGTAATAAAGAGTATTATTTTCTCAACATTTTATTAATTATTCCTTACAAGTCCTGAGTGATGATCCTTTGTTTCTTGGACAAGAAAACTGAGGCAGAGCACCTATATTAGGCATCTACCATCAACTGAGCACCAAACAGGTACGGTGCACTGCCTAACATTCTTTTTCTCAAAAAACAAACAAACAAAAAAAAAACAAAAAACATTCTTTTTCTATTTTATCTGTCAATCTCCCAATAACCTTAAAGGCTAATGTCATTTGCAGATGAGGAAACCTAGTGTCAGAAGTTGAAGGTGAATCAAAAGTAGTAAATGCATGAAATTTGTATACCTTAAATAAAATAGAAATAGCAAAGTTGGCCCCAAAGTCATAACTCTTTCTAAGTAAGCCACCTACTTAATATTGAGGAGTAAAATATACAAAAATCAGGAGTCAATGATCAACACATTTTGTCACCCCCTCCTTAAGCCTACATCTAACGGAGGACACTCATCCTCTCAAAAACTCAGAGGAGTTCTGTTATTGCAAGCATGTGTTTATTCCTAAGATTGTGGATGCCCACTTATTTGCCATCAAGAGGGACTTGGTTTGAAAGAAAGGTGTAAAAATTTGTTTGCTCTGTAAAAATTATTACATCTAGTTCTACAGAGTCTGGAAAAATGCAAATCCCACAATTTACCTGGTTGTTGTTGGTTTTTAATAAGGGTGGTGGAGGTTCGTGATGTAGGGGTGAAGAAGCAGAACTGCTTTCACTATCGCTGCCATCACTCAAGCTAACTCTGAAAAGAGAGAGAGAAGTCACACACATCACTATAACTATCCTTGAAATATCCATGGAAATGGATGCTCAAGGCAAGGCCTCCAAACAGTCACCACTGGACAGCTCATTTTTAACTCACAAATTCTACCAGGTTCAGCATTTACTTTGCATCTGGAACTGTGTAAAGTACTTTGTCTGCTACTTTTCTAAGAAATAGACTTGGGCTAGATCACTAAGCTGGGGTCACGGAGGTATTAGCAGTGGCTCTATCTAGAATTCAAGCCCAAGCAAGGTCACCCGAAGTTAGTGCTCTGTTACTACACCAACATGTGAGGTGCAGCATGTTAGAACCACCATTCTAACTGTCACAATTCAAGGCTCTCTAGTCCTGAACACTGATACAGCAATTCATTGGAAATACACTACAGCAGCATAAGAAACAGTCTGTTTGGGATAACTGCTTTAGAAAATACAGCATCTTTAAATCATTGAAGACAATAATAACAACAGCTCCTCCTCTACTTTTTCCCTTTCAGATTAAAATTTTTCCTTTTAGCCTGAGAGGAGTGAGTTTTTTATTCTACACTGCTGAATGTATGTACTCCTTCAGAAACATCCTTCAGTGTTTGCTCCCTCTCTTTGGTTTAATAGTAACCTAATATAATATTCTCAGAAACAGAAAGTGCTTTAGAAATCAGGAAAGCTTTTCTTTCACTCTGAATAGGTAATCACATTCAAGCTCTATTATATATTCAGATAGACAAGATACAAGATAGGAAATGAAAAGGATACACTGGGACATCCGTTCAGCAAAAACTGATGGAACTTGTTTTTCTTAACTAAATTACATTAATGAAGTGTTCAGTTGAAGCGCTGCTGTAAAATGCTTCTTGACTGAAGTGGAAGGCTGAGTATTTAAACTGATTAAACAGTTGAGATTTCACAAGTGCATTGAAGATCAAATGTTACACTGGTGCTGCTGTGTTAACAGCAAATGTCAGGCCAGGAAAAAGCAAAGCACCCCAACAATGTGTATCTACAGTAGACAACTCACAAACATGTATGAATTCACCCACACTGACTCAGAGTAGTGGTGGTAAGAGGGTGGGTGACAGCTAACCACAGAATATCCAGATATTCTAAATAACAATTTGGGAAATTGTCTAAACAGGTCATGCAATTTTTTTCATGAGCTAAACTGGACAACAGCCGGTGTTCAGGATTTTGTTTGGTGTTAAGTTCCTTAACCCCAAGTTTCAGTCCATTTTTTAGGATTTTTTTCCCCCACTACTGGTTCCCCTCTTCTCAGATAAATGACTTCTAAGGAAAATGTTAGAAGAGCAAGGACATATGGTTCTTTTTTTTTTTCTCTCATGCAAAAGGAATATGGACAGGTGAGTTTGGGAAACAAGACGTAGAAGCAAGTATTGTGTGCAGCTGTGAGGAAGAGTCACTGAGCACTCTGATAGGGCACATACCCTACAGAGGCTCTTCTCACAGACACTAAGGAATTGACAACTCAGAAGAGCACATGATCTGTCCAGACTGGGTTAAGACTGCATTCTTTTTAGGAATGTTAGGGCCTTCTACGCAGTCATGGATAATGGGAAAGATGAAATGCAATATATCATAAATGTAATTGGATTCTAAGTTTAAGTAGATTCATATTTTTCTACTCAAAACACATTAGAGTAAGCACACCTATTTGTTTTCTTCATGATAAAGAAAAAATCCTCAAGGCAATTTCAAGTTGACTATTAATTATAAGTGACATGAATTACCATCTTATAATGTGGCATTATGCCTCACAGCATTAAAGCTACTTAAGGAACCTAATTGTCAGCACACTTAAAAGGAATTTATTTGCTGGAAAACACACACAGGTGATCCTAGTTTTAATTAGGTCACACATAATTCACTGGAGCCAATTATGTATTTCTAACTACAAACAGCAAACACATTTCTTCAATTCTCAGCCTACCTCCAGCAACGAACCTACACAGATTCTTCAAATGAAAACAGACTTCATTTAAACAGTCCTCACACTTGGTAAATACTTTCACTAGCAAGGACTTCTGAAATGACTTTTTTTGTATTAATTTTAGAGGAAAAAACTCTTCTGTCTGAGCAAAGGGAAAAACAGTTCCCTATAGAGATGATAGAAATCCTAAGGAACCTAAGCTTTCAATAAATGTGACCATTTACTGCCTTGGTTTTGGTGTTTCACACCTTTGTTGTGATTATAGCTGTAAGTCTAGTGAAAAGGTCTGATTCCAATGCAAAAAAACCTCTTCTCAAAATACTTACCTGCGACTTCGGCTGCCTCCTCTATTTACAGGTCTCTCCATTTCTGAGTCATTGTCATTATCCTCTGCCTCATCTGATTCTTCCTCATTGTCATCAGAATGCAAATCTTTCATTATAGACCTTAAAGGACCTGAGCAATGAGAGTGAATCACAGACTGTCAAACATTAGTACTCTTTCAAACACACTTAGCCATATCAGAAACAAGAGAATGCTCACCAGTGCTGAACACTGGTTTAAAATAATTGTTCTTCTATATATTTACACAATCTACAAGATTAAATTTGATAGTTTCTGGAATTCAGCCTCTGTGAAAACATTATTGTTTTCATAACAGATTCCCCAAAATTCTCATTAAAGATTATCCATTTTCTAGCAATTTTTTTTCCTGTAGATTTTTCTTCACTAAGAAAAAATATATCTAAAAAGAAATATAAAGGTCTATTAGTAAATTGAATGTTTTGTTAGGTTAATCCATGTATTGAAAAGTTGAGATTAATAAATCACTGTGGTTGTAACTTGTTCTTGGCAATGCAGCCTTTGTGTGGTACTTTTTGATCTATTAAGGTTTAGCTGTTCCTTTTATTTCAAGGTCAATTTCAGGTCATGCAAGTATTTCAGTCAAGTTCAGATTATAAAGTATTTCAATTCCATGGTGCAATGTCCTATCTCTGATCTTCATATTGATCTTGGGCACAAGGTCTTATTGCAATAATTTCATGCAGCCAATTTTCATTTTACTTTTAAGAAATTCCTGGCAAAATATCAGCATCTATTAACATAAATAAGACCATGTAATAAATCAGGTGCCCAGAAACTTCAAGATAGTATCCAGTAGTACATGGAGGTAACAATAAAATTAAAAATCAAGCTGTGACTAATTTTATCCTAGGATAGGAGAGGACAGAACTGAAAACACACACACACACACACAACACTCACTCATTAGTGTGGCTTATTTTTACTTTTCTAAATGTGAGGAAACAAGGTAGTTTTTTTTTTAATTTTAATCAAAGAAATTGTAAAGGGAATAAATGAGAGAGGTACTTTCATTCTGGATTAGGTAATTCCTAAAATCTAATCTATGCTAGAGACATCTAATACCAACTCAGAGTAAAATAAGTATTGACTCTTGCAATCTCTCAGTCTGTAAAACCCAAGTTTGTCTGCTTTTGTAGCAGGCTTATTTCTTTGGAAGCCAGTAGAAAAGGATCTCTGAATAGCCAAAATGATCACTGTCTTTTATTTAGGAAGTCTAAGCCTTAGTCCAAACACACACACCAATTAAATCCTTTTTAAAACATACAAGACCATTACAATTTCAGTGTAATCAAGGAAAAAAATGACATTTAATATGATGTTAAAATAAATTAATTGATAATAATACTTTTTTCATGTAAAAATAGCTATATTTGAAGATTTTACATAAACACACCCAAATGGAAAATATAATTAAATATTCTAGTTCAAATTTATTTATTCGTAATTTGAGTTCATTCTTGAGTAGAGGTAAAAATATATTTAACTCATCAAATTAACATTCGCTTAAAAAAGTCTACTAATCTGTAGAAAAGTAAGTACAATGAGATATGCCTAGGAGGAAGAGTAAAAACATATTTCTCTATGGAAAGCCTCTTGAATTCAGCTTTTGCTATTGCATTTCCTTTGGGAACCCCCTGAAAAAGGCTGTGTCTATAATCCTTTTGTAAAATGGGAATCTGATGGCAGGGAATGGAAAAAGGGGAATTTCTAGAGCGTGGCCTCATACATCAGAACAATACTCAAGTGCATTCCTAGGGGAAATAAATGCAACTGCATAAAAGCTACGTTATCATTCAAATAGTAAAATAGTAGAATATAGGTCATAAATCAACTCATTAAGATGTTTTATGAGAAAAATGTCTCCTAGTTTGCCTGGGAGATGTGGATACCTTGTTGCCTGGTCTGGGATGGAGTGAAGCTAGAGCTCGAGCTGGAGCTGGAACTGGCAGGACTGGGTTGTTCGGACTTTAAAGAAGAAGAGAAAGGCATAATCAATAAACTTATGAGACACTAGACATCGGACATTGAAGACAATATTGTTGTTCAAAGCATGCTTTACAAAAACAGTCTGATAGTGCACAAGAAAGATGACTACAAATTTCATTACATCAAAATACTATAACACAGGAGAGTCATGTCATGCTTTGTTGTTGTTGTTATTGCTTACCATATTTTTATTGCATGCAGAAACAAGTGTATAAACCAAAGGATGAAGGGATAAACTGGGTGTTACATGAGGAAGGAGGACCTGGCTTTAATTTCACTCCTGTTTACTTCCATTCAGATCTCAGAAAAGAGATACCTTGATTACCCTTTCTGCAATGTTTGATTGACTCAACTGGTTAAAACATAGAGGTAATGAGGCCAAGGTCATTAGTTCAATCACATTATGAGCCAGTTAATTTCGCTCTGGTCCAAGGCCATGACCCAACCCTAACCCCATTTATACACAGTTCACAAATGGAGACCAATGCTTACAACAAGACTCAGCCAAGTCCCACAAATGAGTCAAGGGAAAATGTTGTCACTATTTCAAAATAAAAATTATCCTTGAAATCCACAGCCTATTAATGGCAGAGAACCTATGCCACACACATACCCCAATCTCTTAATATCAATTAATTTTCTTCATCCTTTAATCCCCAGAACAAGTTCTATATCCTCCTTGACCCATCCAACTCAGTTTTCTTCCAACTCCAAATCTACTGAAAATGTATTAGATAGATCACCGGTTTATTAGACATGCTGCAGTATTGTGCTGTCTCTTATGTGTATTTTCTTCCCCAGATACAGTAGACTGCCAGCACTTGAAAAAGCAGCACTCGACCTGTCACATGCTTCTTGTTATCCTCTCATACTTAGCAAAATGAACTGCATGCAGCAAGCACTCTGCACCTGTGACTAAAGGCACTTCATTGTGCCCTCTACTCCACTATGTGTCAGTTTTATGAGACTTGATAGTAGGTAAAGACAGGTAAAGCACATGTGTACACAGAAATGTGCAGAGAAACTGATCATACCACCAACACATTTGTACTTTTTGCATATTTAGGGCTAAATTTATTTTAAAATAACTTAGAGTTGGCATTTGGTATAGCAGTTAAGCTGCCATAGACGACACCCTTGTCCCATACTGGAGTGTCTGGGTTTAAGTTTCTGGACCTGCTCTACATTTCAGCTTCCTGCTAATGTATACCCTGGGAAGCAGCAATTGATGGTTCAAGTAGTTGGGGCCCTGAGACCCATATAGCAGACCCGGATTGAGCTCCTGCCTCCTGGCTTCAATCTGGCCAGGTGGAGTGAACCAGCAGATGGGAGATCTCTGTCTTCCCAGCATTTAAAAATAAAATAACCAATTACTGTTGATATAAGTTTGATTGTATTAGTGGACTGTTTCTACCCCATTTCTTGTGTCCTCATGGTCTCAACTACATACCCATGTCATCTGGAAAATATTTGACGTCTTCCCATTTATAAGATACATCTCCTTTCTGCTTCCCGCAATGAGTGATCAAGTTGGAGGACAAACTAAGAGCACAGTCTGAAGCCAGTAACTGAAGGCAAGAATCTCAGTTCAGTTTTTATGGCACTTTCTCACTACTAATATTTTTCATCTCCACCCCACTCCTAGTGCTGAACTCCCACCCTGTCTCCTTAAGAAGCACCAAATTCCACCCATCCTCCTCCAACTCAGACACAAGGAAGCACTTTTAGGCATTCCTAATGCACACTTCACATCCTCAGGCTGGATGGGAAAACAGGTGTCAGCAATCTACCACTCATTCTGCAGGAAAAGAGCCAGACAGGATCTCTAATGAGCAGCAGGCGGCCCACCAACCCTTCACCATTGCAAGATTTACTTGAGAATTGTAGTACAATGTCCTACACATTGCTGCTTGCAGTCCACAAAGAGCTGGTTTACAAGTACAAATGCCTGTGTGAGGTACTCTTCATTTCTGTTGAGTGGCTCTTCCACTGTTGAGCCCCAATGGTGAGTTACACAACTGAAAGGGCATTCAGCTAGCATTTATGAGCAATGCCCAGCTGTAAAACAGTTCTCCCAGGCCTGCAGGGTACTCCTTTTCCTCTCCAAGTTGCTCTTTTCAGCTATGAAAAGTGCCTGCAAATGGTATTATTTTGATAGCTCTGGAAACCATCTGGGAGCCAAAAAGGAGGTTTCCTTACAGCTAGCAGAGAGTGCTAGAATTCCCCAAGCTTCCTGACCAACACACGATGCACTGGATTTAAAGGAGCTCTCTCCCAGAGCTCTTTGCTGGGAATGACATTAACCAGGACAACAAGAGGACAGTGGCCACCTTTCCACACACCCTACACTAAACGTGGTCCCTCTCTCTCAAGCATTTTTTTTTTTAAGATTTATTTTATTTGAAAGACAGAGTTACGGAGAGAGGTAGAGACACAGAGAGAGGTCTTCTAACTACTGGCTCACTCTCCAGATGGCTTCAATGGCCGGAACTGCGCCAATCTGAAGCCAGGAGCCAAGAGCTTCTTCCCGGTCTCCCATGTGGGTGCAGGGACCCAAGGACTTGGGCCATCTTCTACTGCTTTCCCAGGCCATAACAGAGAGTGGGATCGGAAGAGGAGCAGCCGGGACTAGAACCAGCGCCCATATGGGATGCCAGCGCTTCAGGCCAGAGCTTTAACCCACTGTGCCAGACCCTCAAGCATCAGGTTAATGCAAGAACCAAACCTGGAGTAGCCTTCTTTTAGCTTTTTTTCCCCCCATAAACAAGGTTAATAATTGCATAGTTGCTAATCACCTGAAAGCTGACACATTGTAAAGAAAATAATGCAATGGGGGGAAAAAAACTTTTATTTAACACTTTTGATTAACACCCTGCCTCTTCCACAAGACATCTGAGAGTTTACAATGGAAGACATATTAGTTCTATAAGAATATTCAAATAGGAAATTTAAAGTTGCCAAAAAGGATAAATGTTGAGCAGCAAAGCAAACTCCTGGAAGCTTTCGCAGTCAGGGAAAGCATTTTGTGGAATTTTAGGGCAGCAAATCTCACTTTCGTGAACACTGGTATCACTGGAGGACATATCAAAACACATACTGTTGTCCCACTCGAGTTCCTGATTCAGTAGTTTAGGGGGGTGTCATGGGACAAGAACCTGGATTCCTTACAAGATCCCAGGTAACACAGTGTGGAGACCAACCACACTTTTGAGAACTAGCCATCAAGGACCCAGAAATTGACAGCCATCCATGCTAATCAGAATCAGCCAGCAGAAGTCTACACATGAGGAGATCCTGATTTAACAGGTTTGGAGAGGAGATCCAGGCATGCTGATAAGAAGCTCAATTAATGATATTAACAAACCTTCCAAGTTGAGACCAATGATTCTAAATTTGTGTTAAAAGCAAAGAAAACATATGATATTTGTCCCTTTGGGACTGGCTTAGTTCACTCAGCATGATGTTTTCCAGATTCCTCCATCTTGTTGCAAATGACTGGGTTTTGTTATTTCTGACTGCTGTATAGTATTCTATAGAGTACATGTCCCATAATTTCTTTATCCAGTCTACTGTTGATGGGCATTTGGGTTGGTTCCAGGTCTTAGCTATTGTGAATTGAGCTGCAATAAACATTAATGTGCAGACAGCTTGTTTGTTTGTCAATTTAATTTCCTTTGGGTAAATTCCAAGTAGTGGGATGGCTGGGTCGAACGGTAGGGTTATCTTCAGGTTTCTGAGGAATCTCCAGACTGACTTCCATAGTGGCTTAACCAATTTGCATTCCCACCAACAGTGGGTTAGTGTCCCTTTTTCCCAACATCCTCTCCAGCATCTATTGTTGATAGATTTCTGAATGTGAGCCATTCTAACCGGGGTGAGGTGAAACCTCATTGTGGTTTTGATTTGCATTTCCCTGATTGCTAGTGATCTTGAACATTTTTTCATGTGTCTGTTGGCCATTTGGATTTCCTCTTTTGAAAAATGTCTATTGAGGTCCTTGGCCCATCTCTTAAGTGGGTTGTTTGTTTTGATCTTGTGGAGTTCCTTGATTTCTTTGTAGATTCTGGTTATCAACCCTTGATCTGTTGCATAGTTTGCAAATATTTTTTCCCATTCTGTCAGTTGCCTCTTCACTTTCCTGACTGTTTCTTTTGCAGTACAGAAACTTCTCAATTTGATGCAATCCCAAATGTTAATTTTGGCTTTGACTGCCTGTGCTTCTGGGGTATTTTCCAAGAAGTCTTTGCCAGTACCTATATCTTGCAGGGTTTTTCCAATGCTCTCTAATAATTTGATGGTGTCGGGTCATAGATTTAAGTCTTTAATCCATGTTGAGTGAATTTTTGTGTAAGGTGAAAAGTAGGGGTGTTGATCAGCTCTTGTCCTGACGGTTGATGTACAATGTAATACTTTATCCATTTTAGTATTTTTTTGTTCTAGTATTATTGGTTGAACTCTGTAATTAACACACAATTATTCTTAGGTGTTTAAATTTTAACTGAAAAGTGATCCCTGTTAGGAATTTGGAAAACATTATGCTGAGTGAAATAAGCCAATCCCAAAGGGACAAATATCATATGTTCTCCCTGATCGGTGACAACTAACCGAGCACCAAAAAGGAAACCTGTTAAAGTGAAATGGACACTATGAGAAACGGTTACTTGATCAGCCGTTGCCCTGACTATTTGACTGTTGATGAACAACTTAATACATTATCCCTCTTAGTATTTTTTTTTGTTTGTTTTACTTAATACTTTTGGTTGAATACTGTAATCAATACAGTTATTCTTAAGTGTTGAAACTTAACTGAAAAGTGATCACTGTTAAATATAAGAGTGGGAATAAGAGAGGGAAGAGATGTGCAATTCGGGACATGCTCAAGCTGACTTGCCCCAAATGGTAGAGTTAGAAACATACCAGGGGATTCCAACTCAATCCCATCAAGGTGGCATGTACCAATGCCATCTCACTAGTCCCAG